TGGGCTGAACTCCAGAAGGATCATGCTTTCAGCCATACCTTCCTTCCTGAAAAAAACTGGCACCTACAGCTCTTCCTTCTGCGAGTGGTGACCTGCCAGCAATCATGTAAACACACTGACAGCATTTCTCAGGGAAGGATCAGTCAAGACCTGCCTGGGTGTCACAGAGCCAGAGCTGTACTGGAAACCCCCTCTCTCAAGGCAGAAGTTAAATTCACTCTGTTCCTAGATAACCAATGAACTGCAGTGGATGGAGGACCAGCTCCATCCTCAATGCCTGCAAGGACTTTTGCTCCTGGCCCCAGGTGACAACTCATCCCAGCTGGATAAGCACACCTGCCTCTCTCACCTACTCCCAGTAGTGAAGTACAAGCACATGGTCTGTTCCTTCTTATAAAGTCATAGAGTTGTCAGGGTTGGAAGGGACCTCTGAAGATCATCTAGTCCAACCCCCAGGCTAGAGAAGGATCACCTACAGTAGATCACACAGGGGCATATCCAGACGGGTTTGGAACGTCTCCAGAGGAGACTCCACAACCTCTCTGGGCAATCTGTTCCAGTGCTCTGTTACTCTCACAGTCAGAAAGTATTTCCTTATGTTTAACTTGAAACTCCTGTGTTCCAGGATAGATATCCCTTTAGATATTTATAAGCATTTATGAGATTCCCCCTCAGTCTCCCTCTTCTTCAGGCTAAACTGCCTCAGCTCTCTCAGCATTTCCTCACAGGGCAGATGCTCCAGTCCCCTGATCATTGCTGTGGCCTGTGCTGGACTCTTTACAGTAGTTCCTTATCCTTTCTGAACTGGGCAGCCCAAAATTGGACGCAGTTCTCCAGATGCAGCCTCACCAGGGCAGAGTAGAGGGGCAGGAGAACCTCCCTTGACCTACTGGCCACACTCTTCTTAATGCCCCCCAGGATGCCATTGGCCTTCTTGGCTGCAAGGGCACATTGTTGGCTCATGATCAGCCTGTTGTCCACCAGGACTCCAAGGTCCTTCTCCCCAGAGCTGCTGTCCAGCAGGTCAGCCCCCATCCTGTAATGATCCAAGGGGCTGTTCCTCCCCAGCTGCAGTACTCTACAATTGTCCTTACTGAATTTCATTAAGTTTCTCCTTGCCCAACTCTCCAGCCTGCTCAAGTCACACTGAATGGCAGCACAGCCTTCTGGTGTGTCACCATTCCTTCCAGTTTGGTATGGTCAGAAAACTTGCTAATGGTGTACTTCATCCCTTTGTCCAAGTCACTAATGAATACATTGAAGAGGGCAGATCTGGTACTGGCCCCCAAGGAACCTCACTGGATACAGGCCCCCCCTCTCTGCCTCACAACAACTCTTTGAGCTCTGTCCTTCAACCACTTCCCAATCCACCTCACTGCCCTATCACCCAATGCACACTTCTTGAATTTCCCTGTGAAGATGCTGTGGGAGATGGTGTCGAAAGCCTTGCTGAAATCAAGGCAGACCACATCCACTGCTCTCCCCTCATCTATCCATCTAATTGTGTGATCCTAGAAGGCCATCAGATTGGTTGACGTCCCCTTGGTGAATCCATGCTGATAACTCCTGATGACCATCTTTTGCTCAACATGTTTTGAGAGGGCACCAAAAACAAGCTGTTTCATCACCTTTCCGGGTGAAGGGGAGGCTGATCAGTCTGTAGTTACCTGGGTCCTCTGTCTCGCCTTTTTTGAAGCCTGGAGTGACACTGGCTTTCTTCCAGTCTTCAGGCACCTCTCCTGTTCTCCAGGACTTTTCAAAGATGATGGAGAGCATCCTAGCAATGACTTCTGCCAGCTCCCTCGGGTGCATCCTATTGAGGCCCATGGATTTTTGGATGTCCAGTTTACCTAGTTGGTCTTTAACCCAATCCTCTTCACCCAAGGCACAGTTGTCCTTCTGCCTGACTTCCTCTGTGGTCTCAAAGGTCTGGGACTCCTGAGGGTCAGCTTAGCAGTAAAGACCAAGGCAAAGAAGGCATTAAGTAACTCTGCCTTCTCTGTATCTTCTGTCACAGGTAACCACCTTCATTCAGCAGTGGGCCCACATTTCCTCTGGTCTTCCTTTTGCCTCCAGTGAATTTAAAGAAGCCTTCCCTGTTGTCCTTGACCTCCCTTGCCAGTTTTAATTCCAAGGAGGCCTTAGCTTTTCTCATTGCATCCCTACATTCTCTGACAATATTCTTGCATCCCTCCCAAAGTGTTCAGCCCCTTCCTCCATGATCTAGAAACTTCTTTCTTCCACTTGAGTTTGTTCAGTAACTCCTTGCTTAACCATGCAGGTCTCCTGGCTCTCTGACTTGATTTCTTACTCTTTCAGATGCTCATATCTTGAGCTTGGAGGAAAAGGTCCTTGAATATTGACTGTCTTGGCCCACCCTACCATCTAGTACCCTATCCCATTGGAATTCATGAAACAGTTCCTTGAAGAGGTCAAAATTAGTTCTTCTGAAGTCCAGGGTTGTGACCCTGCTCGATCCTCTGCATCTACTGCATTTGATCCTGAACTCCACCATCTCATGATCCCTACAGCCAAGGCTGCCCCCAACCTCCATGTCTTCCACAAGCTCCTCTTTCTCTGTCAGAACCAGGTGCAGTTCTGACCTCTCCATGTTGGCTCCTCTACCACTCCCTATGCTTTCCAGGACAAAACCAGGTTTCTGGTGTATTTGCCCACAAATCCCCTGAACTTGGTCACTGATCTTTCTCAAGTCCTGCTAAAGGACAGAGATGAACTGGCCCAGCTCAATGACCACCGTTTCCTTTAGATTTAAATTTCTGCTAAAAAGAAACAAAACAGAAATGTACTTTTTGAAAAGTGGCCTTTAGGATGTCTTGTTTCTCTGTGTGTTCTCTACATGAGGGCTCTGAATTAGGAAAAAAACAACCACTCTTGAAATGAGGAGCTTTTTACAGCTTTTCTAAAGAGCGTTTTCTGAGCAGTTCCTGTGAGCAAGGACTCGTTCCCTTGGCACAAAGACACTGTCTCCTGCCAACAGCTCAGAAGCAGCAAACAGAGCAGGGTCCAACTTTCTAGAGGTCTGGAAAAGATCAGTGGGCTGCGAGGTGACAGCAGCAAGTCCTGAGTCAGGAGATTCTCCAGGCATGGGGCAGTGAGATGTCAGCTCCATTAACCACTTCACTGCCAACCAAACCACAGGCTGGGTGAAGGGCACGGCTGGTTTGGGGAGATCTGTGTAAGGCCCCATCTGTGGCAGTTTACTATGGTCTGAAGTGGACGAGCCACTGAAGGCTGCTGCTTTGCTCTTCTAGTCTGACTCCACTAGCTACGAATCTGGGTACCCTGTGCTCTCCATGGGGAGACAATGAACCTGGCTGCCAGGTCTGAGAACATCTAAGCAAATGGTTCATTCAGGCAGCTCGAAACCAGGACTGGTGTTATCTTATGGCAGGACTAGAGGACTTCATGTGGGCAGACACACTGGCTGGGCACTCCTCCAGGTCATCAGGACTCCCAGGCTCCAGGCATGCAGGGATTTCTGTCTCACTGGCAGTGCCAAAGACAGCCATGCAGGGGCATGAGGACTGACAGAACCAACCCCCAGCTGCCAGCTCTGTGTCACAAGACCACCTGGCTGGGACATGTTTAGGATGCAGAGTTGAGCAGCTACTGCAAAGAAGGGCCAGGAACACTAGGCAGCACTCCTGCTGCTGCCCACCACTGGCAAATCCTGCATATGCTTCCAGTGGCTGCTGCAAGATGGAGAACTTGTCCCTGCCCTACTGCTCTGAGCTCCTGTGTGCTTCTGTGAGTAACCTGCACAAGAAGTGGCATCCAGAATGTTCTGCTCTTGTCTTCAGGGTGTTTACACCCACCCTCTCCTTTGCATCAGTGCAAAACACAGTGCATGGTGCCTCCAGAAATCAGCCCCGTTCTGCTCCTTCCACAGACAGGGCAAGATTTCTGGTGCCCTCGATATTTATTTTTTGTTCAGTTTTAATTTTATTCCTTCGCTTTTGTGCATTGGGGTTCTGTATCAGGTGCCAGGGAGAAGTACACAGCCATTCAGGGATCCACCCAACCTCCCAAGGACTGTCTTTTTTTGGTGTCAGGCACAGTGAACTGTGGTAAAACCAGCGTTGTACGATTCCTTGTTCGAGATGTTAATATTGATGGCAGGGCTGCTGGCAAGCACAGGAGCACAACAGCACAAGTGCTGCTTTTGCAGCTGGTGGTTTTTCAGAACAGTGAGTGTCACCTGCTACAGGTGACACCTGGCACTGAGCTGTGCTAGCAGAGAGGAATGGCACTGATCAGACAGGCACGGATCCA